CCCCAAAACCCCAAAACCCCAAAACCCCAAAACCCCGAAATATCTTTGGATTATTGAATGCCCTCACATACAAATATAACTTTCTCTTCTCAGAGAAGAATTTCTAAACTTTAATATGGATTTTTGATGGGAGCTATCAGTATCCACCATATCTATTTTATCTAAGGAATCTTTAGCAATACAAAAATAATTAAAATTTGTGACAAACAAGGATTTGGTTGCATAATCATTCGTTCTGAGACATCTTTTGGTTCAAGTTGAAGCATTTGTCAAATTAATAATTATCATGTCATCTATTTTTACCCTAAGAGTTAGCACTTAAATCAAGTCAGATCTCTTGAAATGAAAATAAGTTAATGTATCGAAGACTAGTAAATCGCATTCCCTTTTATTAAATCTAAGTGGGAGTGATACTTCTCAAATCAAGATTATTGAGAGGTTAGATTCTATTCTAGTCTTTATGAATTTAGCCTTCCAATTTCACCATTTTAAATCACTTATATAATTAGTTTTTTATAGCTTTAAAATAAAGAGCTTTGCTTAGGCATCCACAAAATTAAAGAATTAGAAAATATCTTGATCAAATATAATATTACATTTGAGATAAACCTAATTCAGACTACTTGGCAGTTTTCATATTTCAGGATCGATCTAGCAATATTTTGATATTTCAGATATTAGTGGAGCATTTTCTACCTTTCGAAGATATTATTTTTTCTGCTATACAAATCAAACTCATTAAAATAAAGATCACTTCCTCCCTACTCTAGAGAAGATTTGAGGAATGAAAGCAAACGAAGTCAATGTTTTAAAGCTTCGTTCATCCTTAAGCCAGTATATTTTATCTAAATTATGTTCATTTTCACAACAATATGATAAATTTTCCTCCTAGTTCCTAATTTACACAAATGTGCAATTTATGAATCATTAGTGAGCTCCATCCTCTAAAAGTTTAATGCCAAAGTAAACAAGAAAGTTAGTCTTTTTGTTTGAATTTAACCAAAGTCTACCAAGAGTAGGAATGGATCCATTTTAATAAGTTTCCTCTAACATAAAAATTCCTTGACTAGAGCACGGCTTACATTCTCCAAATAAGTAATGTCATTTATTGGCAGAAATTAATGTTTGCAAACCAAAAAGAAAATGGCCTGCTCTTCATTGGAACTTTATGAACTATTATTTTCATGAATTGCTTCAAAACTTGATTCATCATAAAGTCAGCACTTTAGTTCATTTTTTGTTAGCAATTAATATAAAAAGTGTGATCGTTATTTTTGGTAGATCTAAGCTCACTCCAGGAATAAATTTTGCTTTATTTCACACAAGCAAACTTGCCTTATGCAAGCCTTCCAAATTTGTCTTTTATGAGCTTAAAAGAACTCTATTTTGTTTGCATAAAGTCGTAGCCTTAACTCTATTGAAATTAAATCACAATAAGGACTCTAACTCTCTTGAGATCAACTATTGCTAAATAAGATTTAGTTGGACAACTTCATGAATGAACAAAATTGTTACAACAGTCTCGCTATAGTTTTAGAAGAAATATTTAATTGATAGCAAAAACTTACTTTGAGTAAATTTATAAAAACTAAATTTAGCTGAGGTATTCACCATTTTATTAATTTAGTTTGACCAGTTCTGCTTCATGATTCTTATCTCTAAAATTCATACAAAAGTCATTGAAAAATTTTACTCACTTGGATGAAAAAACAAATTTAGCCATTAAAGTGATAAAAGCCTCAGCATGCATTTGATATTAAAGCAAACTTTATAGTTTGCTTTTACAAGTGGATATGGTAGAATTTTATTGGTGTCATTGGGGCTAATGACTTTAATATTTGCTATAACCTCGTCGTTATGAATCGGAATAAATGATAATCGAGCTCAGACTCCGTTGCTTTTCTTTAATAATTTCCTGTTTCAATACTAAAATAAGTTTTTGATGTAGGCCTAGAGGCTAGGTGATAGCTATTTTTAGTAGCTATTTGTTCAAGCCTAACCGAAATTTTCAAGGGACTCCTCTGCTAGCTTCATAGAAAGCTTCTAATCCCGAGCTTCAGAGTAAAGAGAAGGAGAGCATTTTTGAACATAAGAGAAATTATGTTGCTAAGGACTTCCAAAACTAAATGGTGCAAAATGGTTATTTATGTTGCTGATTTGAGTCACCATTTTATTAATATGAGCTTTTTCAAGTGTTAAGACCAGGCAATGCAAATTTGAAACAGACTGTTTTTATTGAGAATAGAGCATCCTGATTGGATTCGCTTCGAAGGTCAAACCCTCATATTGTTCTGAGCTTTCAATATTAACAATGATCTTAAATATGTTTGGAGGTTATTATTTTTTAATTTTGATAATTTCACCAAATTGTCTTCTTACTTTTTAACATATTAGAAAGAAGGAAAATATTAGCTTTACAAAAGAGTAGAAATGAAAGAGATAACTTTAAGGCATTATGATTTTAACATGCCTTCTCTGGACCCAAGACAGATAGAAATTAAATTGTGAAAATTAGCACAAAATTGTGAAATATTTTTTTCTTAAAAAAATGAGATGAGTATGAGTTCAAAAACAGTTATGATAATTAGAAATGGTGAACTCTATTTCTGAAGGGTCTCCATACAGCTGTGAATCAGCTTCTGTAGGTAGTATCTATGGGCTTCTTCATTTATTAATTGTGCTCTCTTTGAGTTCAAGGACCTAACCATATTTTGGAATAACTCGGGTCTTTGCCAAAATTTGACAAAAATTGCAGCAAAATATTTGTTCGATATTATCTTGTGGAGCTTCTTTCTGTTGAACTTGCCCATTCAAGCTTTGAACAGATTCGTGAACTCATAAGCTGGCGACTCCGAAGAATTGTACAGAGAGCCAAACGATACGATAACTTTGAATATTTCAACTAGCTCAGGAGTGGGAGGAATGCCTAGTACAGACTTTAAGAACATTCTTGCTTTCTCACCAGTGTGACAGCAAGGATGCTCAGAGTCAAGCTGATAGGTGCATGTTGAGCATTTCATTTGCTTGATTTGCATCTGGCAAGTCCTCCTGAAGAATCTAAGGACTACCTTGTAAACTACATCCTTTCTTGAGTTTAAATTGGTGAAGTCTCTTTCAATTTTTTTCATCTTCTTCTTGTTGAAATCGAAAGATGGATATACTTGCAACGAAGAGCTTTGAGCAACTTGCTCCGAGAGAACCTTGTTAAAAGCTTTATTATCTAAAGATTTTTGCTCCTCATCATTCATTGGATCTCTGTTTGATTTTAACCCAGTTTCTTCTTCATATTGTCTTTGATTTGTTCCCATAAAGTATCCAGACAAAGGTGTTGGCATCTCTGGCATGTTCAGTGCCGGAATATCTTGCAGAAAGAGTTGATTGATTTCGTAACCACAGAATCAGAAATTATGGAGATAATATTTTCTATCTATCGGCCATGAATTATCGCTCCCTAAAGAATTATTAAAACTGGAATCAATAATTAAATAATTTGTTGAAACATTCTTGGAGAATTGATGAATTTTTCTAATTAGATACTATAATCTGAATGCTCAAAATTACGAGTAAAATGCACTAGAAGGCCTTGCTGTTAAAACTCAATAAACTTTGACTTTATTGTCTTATTTGAAAGTTATCCATAAATCTTGCAATAAGATTGGATTGCGGGTTTATGATTCAAAGCTACCAACATTATAGGAAAAGAAACTTGAAATAACCAAAATTTGGATATATCCCTAAACTAAGACGATCTGCTTGCCCAAAGCTTCTATAAGAGTTTTAATCATATAGCAGTACCCAGATACTTTTTGGATGATCTTTATCATGAGTAAAAGATTTTCTGGATAAGAAAAACTTTAATAAAGAACTTTGGTCACTTAAAAAGATTTCAGCAAACTACAAAACCCCATAAACTTAAGGAATAGGTGAAGATCAAATCAAAGTATCTGGGAGAAGCTGATAGATTCTGCCTACAATACTGTGCTTAATAACAAAAGCTTACATGCATTTTCAAACATCTTGATCTGGTACATATTTAACTATTTATTTAATCACCCACCTCACCGCTTTATAAGGGGTTTTGGGGTTTTGGGGTTTTGGGG